TTTTTTTAATTTTTTTTATTTATTTATTTTTTTCCCCCAAAGCCCCAGTAGATAGTTGTATGTCATAGTTGCACAGCCTTCTAGTTGCTGTATGTGGGACGCGGCCTCAGCATGGCCAGAGAAGCGGTGCGTCGGGGCGCACCCGGGATCCGAACCCGGGCCGCCAGCAGCGGAGCGCACGCACTTAACTGCTAAGCCATGGGGCCGGCCTCATTTCTTTAAAAATTAAAAAAAATATATATTTTTGTAAAGTAATACATGTGTATTTTAAAAAGTCAAATAGTGCTAAGAGGTATATTTATAAAATGGAATCCCCTACCCCCACTTTCAATTCTTAGCTGTTTCTTCTTGTATTTATCTCTGTGGCTTTTTTTTAAACCTCCACATTTCTTTGTGTGTGTGTGTGTGTGTGTGTGTGTGTGTGTGTGTGGAAGATCAACCCTGAGCTAACATCCAATGCCAATCCTCCTCTTTTTTGCTGAGGAAGATTGGCCCTGGGCTAACATCTGTGCCCATCTTCCTCCATTGTGCATATGGGACGCTGCCACAGCATGGCTTGCTAAGTGGTGCGTTGGTTCACGCCCGGGATCCCAACCAGTGAACCCCAGGCCGCCGCAGTGGAGCGCGAGCACTTAACTGCTTGCGTCACCAGGCCTGCCCCTGTATGTATGGTAGTTTTAAAAGTGAAAAATAAGTTAAAAGAATTTAAAAGTACAAAAAGGTATACAGCAAAAAGGAAGTCTCTTTTCTTTCTCTCTGCTTTAGCCTTCCAGCTTTCCTTTCTGGAAGAAACTTGTTACCAGTTTTCCTATGTAGTGTCCCACTTAATCACTCTTAAACATGTACACATTCAGGGGTAAATGAGGCAGAATTGAAAGGAGCTTAAATTTGCTCAAGTGTTTTTTGAGAATGCTAAGATTACTACTCTTAGAATACGTCTAAATATGTTATTAATGAAGCCTAGCACTAATTTATTAAAATGATTTCTCCTACAGTTGGCAAACATGAGTTGACTGGGCATAAAGTTGCTGTGAAGATACTCAATCGACAGAAGATTAGAAGCCTTGATGTGGTGGGAAAAATCCGCAGAGAAATTCAGAACCTCAAGCTTTTCAGACATCCTCATATAATTAAACTGTAAGATCTGAGTGTATTAAATATAGTCATATAATTTTTGCACCATTTTTCTTACCCTACTTAATCTGACAAGCGAGAAAGATGACTGACATTTCTTTGGTCTGTTCCCTGAGGGTTTTAAAATTTCTTCCCATTAATGTATTTATCTAACCTAATTCATGGTCATGTTTTGCTTATCAGCTGTTATCTTTCTCATTCTTTCTTGTGTCCTGGATGAGCCCTTCTGATAGATAACATTCGGTCCCCCTATTGCTGCAGGACCTACAATGATTTGCTAACAAAAACTCTTGACCTCTACATTTCCACATGATGTCAGCTCACTAGAGACAATGCAGTAGAAAGGATTTTCCCCCATGCTGGTCATATCTGATAAAACAAATAACAAATACTAGAATTTCAGGAATCCAGTATTTCAAAAGGGCAGTAATATTACCATTGTTTTACAGTTGCCAATTGTAGGGTCTACTGATAACTTAATTACTGCTCAGCTTTATCATGCAGGCTATAGATTAAAACTACTTAGGCTTTTCTGCTGAACTGGCTGACTCAGAATTTGTTTTGCTCTCACCTCTTCTCATGGGTTGAGGTGCCATGGTTTTAAATACCAGCCATATGCTGATGACCCCTAAATATACATCTCCTGCTTTGAAACCTCGTCCCTGAACTCCAGCCTCCTATGCCCACTGCCTGCATCTCCATTTGGATGTCCAGGAGGCATGTGAAACTCGACATGCCCCAAGCTGAACTTTTTATTACCCTCCAAACCTGCTCTTCCTACAGTTTTTACCATCTCAGTTAATATCCAGTTCCTCAGGGCAGAAACTTAGGAACCATCCTCAACTTCCCTATTTCTCCCACTTCCCACCATCCATTCCATCTCTTTCTTCAAAATATATCTAGCACCTGAGTGTTTCTCAGTTCCTTCATTGCCATCAGCCCTGTGCGAGCCACCTTCATCTCTCATGGACTACTGCAGTAGCCTTCTGCTTCCACCTTTCCCGTCCACAGTCAGTTCTTTACATTGCTGCCAGTAATTCAAGTTACCCTTTTAATAGGCCAGATCACATGACTACTTCGCTTAAAACCTTCGATAGCTTTCCATCTCCCGCAGAGTAAAAGCCAGAGCCTCGTTACAGCTTGTAAGGGTCTGTGTCCTCTGGTCTCTAGTTACCTCTTTGAGTCCACATCCTCTTTCCCTCTCCCCCGCTTACTCCGCTCTCGCCTTCTTACTATTCCTCCCACGTGCCAGGCAGGCTTCCACCTGGGGGCCTTTGCACTTGCTGTTCCCTCTGCCTGGTTCATTTCTTCCCAGATAATGGTATAGTTTGCTCCCTTCCATCAGGCTCTGCTCAAATGCTGCTTTATGAGAGAGGCCTTCCTTGAACACCCTGAATGAGAGATTCCCGAGCTTGCTTCATTTCTCTCCATAGCATGTTCCACCACCTGAGATACTGCTTATTTATTGAGTGTCTGTTTCCTGGCTCCTGGAACATGAACTCCATCAGAGCAGAGGATCTGTTTTGTTCCTTGCAGTGTTCCCAGCTCCTAGCACAATGCCTGGTATATTATAGGCACTTAGTAAATATTTGTTGAATGAATGAATATATATGTTTTAATATTGGTAGATAATGTTTTCTCTCACCAGGTACCAGGTCATCAGTACACCATCTGATATTTTCATGGTGATGGAATATGTCTCAGGAGGAGAGCTATTTGATTATATCTGTAAAAATGGAAGGGTAAGCAGTTCTGATTTAATCCTGTATATATTTGTAACTCCCCCTTATCCCTTACTAGCTTCAAGATATCAGAAAGCAATTTTGTTAAGAGGTCTACTTAATAACCAGTTTCCTTAGTCGTATACTTGTCTAGAATCATAGACTATTTAGAGCTAGAAAGGACCTTAGAGGTTATCTCCTTAGCCTGCTTATACACATGTAGAAACTGAGGTTCACAGTTTATATATTTGCTCAAGGTCACGTGATTTATTAATGATGGAATTGGCGAGACCCCAGAACTCATGATCCTCAGACTTATGCTTTTGGGGCATACAAATACTTTTAATGTACATCTTAATGTATATATTTAATCCTTACAAATTTATTATTAAATACTTAAAGATCTAGGCCTTGCGAGTCAACCCTAGCCACATTTAAATTGCATTCATTTTTTGGTTTCAGAAATCTGATGTACCTGGAGTAGTAAGAACAGGCTCCATGAAGGAGGTAGGAATTAGACTTAAAGAATTTAGAGTTGGAAGGAGCTTTAGAAGACATTTTGAACAGTATCTTAAGATACAAAAACTGAACACTGCCCCCCATCCGTACTTTGTCTCACACCCAGGTTATGTGGTATGCAAAAACCCCTTTCTGGAGGAGCCGTATCTAGCACTGAGAAGCCAATTTTTTTCCCTCGCAATCTAACGTTCTTTATATCATTCACTCATTTGTTGTATGCAGCATATCTGTTTCTTTTCATCAATAACCAAGTTAATTTTGATTTTACCATTTCTTAACATGGTTCATTTCAATGTCAGGTATTCTACTTCTCTATTCAGCGCCCCCCCCCCCGGCCCCCCCAATTTTCTGCCTGGGAAAATGGAAACAGGCACAAGGTGAATTGCTATCTTGTGTTCTTATCTTTTCTCTTGTGTTTTTCATTTCTTGGTCATTGTGCTTTACATTATGGGAATTTTCTTCAATTTTCACCTGTTGCATATTAAGTTTTCAGCTTTCATAGTTTTTATTTCAAATGTCTCTTTCTTGTTTTCTGAAATTTTCTTTCTTTAAACAGCCTATTTTTGCTCCACAGATGTAATAAACTTATCTGTCTGAGGATGACAGTTAGTTTAAAAAAGAAGTTGTCTTCTGTTCCCTGCATTGTTTCTGTACCTTCTGTGCTCCCTGCTCCGTTTTTTTCCTGTTCATTTTGTTGGTCCTTCTCTTTTGTGCACAGCCCTTCCTCAGATGTCTGGTGGTTCTTGGTTGTGCACTCATATTTGAGAATGAGGTACTAAATGCCAAGCTTATCTGGGTGGAATTTATTGATTTGTGGGCCTTCCTAAAGGTTGAATAGGTAGGGACCTGTCCGTTTTAATAGGGTACACCAAAATGTCAATAATTACAAATATTTTTCCTTGGATCACGTAGTTGCTCCAGAAGAAACCTTCCTATTTCTTTGAGGGTATTAGCTGCCAGACTCCAGGAGCTGAATGGAAAAGAGGCCTGCAAGTCTCATTAGTTAGTATGTTGACTTTCACTTAATCCCCATATTTTCCATCTGGGGCCTCGTCTCTGCCTTAGTGTCCTTGAGAACAGAGCTGGTTCAGCCTTACTAAAGAGTAAATCATGGGTCTTATTTCCCAGTAGGGCTAAGTTTAAAACTTCTTACTTCAACCAATACTCTTGTTTTCACTTCACCTCTCCCTTGTCCCTTCAGAAATTCCCAATGCTTCCAATTTCTAAGCCTTTCCAGGGTTCTGTGTGTAGACGAGTTTATTATTGGTTTCCACCGCCGTAGGCTTAGGTTTCAGCTTTCTGTGACGGGTGAAGTCTTCATCACTGTTCATCCACTCTCCAGTTTGGTGACTCCTCTTGACTACTGCTGTCTCTTCTCTTGCTCTTTCTGTCTTTATATGCTAATGTCGTTTTAGTGATGTTTCAAGGAGTGGAGACAAAGGTTCAGTGTGCCATGTTTAACTGGAAATATGCTTTGGCTTTTCTAATCTTCCTTTGTAGACTTCCCCTCTTCCATCCCTTGTACTGCATGTATTATTAATATAGTGTAATTTTCATTTTTTGTAGCCTGTCTGTTTTAGCTCTTATGTTTTGTTTAATCAATTAAGTTTTCTTCTCTTTCACATTTAGAACACATTCTAGTTTTCACTTAGTATATATATATATTTTTTTTTAATTATTTATTTATTTATTTATTTATTTTTCCCCCCAAAGCCCCAGCAGATAGTTGTAGGTCATAGCTGCACATCCTTCTAGTTGCTGTATGTGGGACGCGGCCTCAGCATGGCCGAAGAAGCGGTGCCTCAGTGTGCGCCCGGGATCGAACCCCGGCCGCCAGCAGCGGAGCGCGTGCACTTAACCACCAAGCCACGGGGCCGGCCCTCACTTAGTATATTTGATATAAAAAATTGTATTAAAAAATGGACCTACATTCTTCTAGAAATAAGGGTGTTAGATTGCTAATGCGTTAGTATTTTCTCTAGAGGAAGGATATCTGTAGTACTTGAGTGGTTTTAATTTTGCTTTCAAAAGAAATTACTAGTTCATCTTTTTTCCCAGATTATTCATGCCATTTAAGGTGTAGACCTATGGTTTTAGAATGCTAATTTGTGACCTGTGTTAGAGAATTGCTTATTAGAGTCCTTAGCCTAGAGGATTAATAGCTTATTTATTAAATATGAGTTCTTGGGAGCGGGCATGTCCAAGTAATGGTTATCGCTTATGGAAAAAACATCATAAAATAAGAAAATATGGATAAATAGAATGAGAAGTTTTTAAAGAATCTTTAATAAAATGTAGTTGCAGCATAAGATAATTTTTTCAGTAAGCAGACTAAAAATAAATGCTTTTATATTTCCTAAAACATATAAATTAAGGTTTTTCTTTTGTTGAAATTAAAACGTCTTTTATTTCAGGACGTGTAACATTTTGCTTGCTAATTCATTAACAATGCTTAAATGTGCTTTCTCAGATAGTCTAAAATAGTATCCCCCCCCACCGCCCCATAACTCTCTGTGCCCTAATCCTGCTTTATTTTTCTTCAAAGCACTGTCACTCCTTGACATTATATTCATTTGTTTATTGTCTATTTTCGTGAACTAGATTAGGGCCTTTTTTATTTCTTGCTATATCATGAGTGTCTAAACAGTGCAGGGCACATTGAAGGTGTTCAATAAATGTTTGTTAAAGGAATGAAGGATGAAACATTTCTAATTTATAGGAGAAAACATGCCTCGTTTCAAGTAGAAATTGAAACTATTTGAAATAGCTCATGAGATACAGAGGAAAACAAGCTGTTACAGTGTAGTCGTGAGAGTGATAATATGAGAGAGTTGAGTTACTGATTTGGTTTCCAAGATCCTCTTAACATTTCTGTTTTGTGCTACATGTATCTCCTCCCCATTTCAAAAGTATCTCATGCGTGAGGTTCAATTGGAAGGTTTCATGCATTTTGACAGTTTTATAAGTTGGAGAATTATAGTTTCTTTTGAAAGACATACCTTTAAGATGCCTCTCTACTTTTTCTTAGCTCGATGAAAAAGAAAGTCGACGTCTGTTCCAACAAATCCTTTCTGGTGTGGATTATTGTCACAGGCATATGGTGGTCCATAGAGACTTGAAACCTGAAAATGTCCTGCTTGATGCACACATGAATGCAAAGATAGCTGACTTTGGTAAGCAGATTTTTATATTTCATATATGCATTATGTTTAACGAACATCAGTAGCATTCTTCAGATAACTTTTACTTCTATGGAATAGACTGACTGTCCCAAAATAGTATATCCTTACCATTTTGTCTATGAGCATACAAAAAGGGGGAAAAGATAGGGAGTTCTCTTTTCTTACCTTTATGTCTTTAAAATTGAGTTTTATCATAGTAGGTAAATAATTTAAATTGGCAGCATTGGAGACATCATTTGAAAAAAGAACTATTATAAGTGAAGGAGAAGTTAGCAACCTTATTTCCAGTGTGTTCTTGTGATAAAGTATGGAGCAAGAGGGAAGAGACTGGGATGGAGTTATTTAAACTTTGAAAGCCAGAAGGAAAACTATATGAACCAAATTATTTAAAAAAAAAAAAAATTAAAATATTTTAAATGACAGAAAAGCGTAACGTCAACTTGAGGAACATTATTTTGATTGTCAAAAATGAATTTATTTTTTCTTTATTTCCTATATAAATTGCCATTGACATTAATAAACCTAAGAAAAATGAATCTCTCCATGTCTTTTTTGCTTAGCTTCAGTTCAAATCAGAGGAGATTCTTATAAATATTTCCCTCAGTTTTGAATATATATTTTTTAATCTCTAGAGATTCACTGAACAGTGCCAGCCACCTCTGAGCTACTGTTGTGGTTTTTTTGTAACTGAATTATTTGACTTTCTTATTCCTCAGTTGTCATGATTATGTTTGCAGAGTGCATTTTTGAGGAGGCAGAGGTTTCTTTTTGGAGTAAAACTATGAAGAAACTTTGATATTCAAAGTTATTATTATTATTTTTTTAAAGAATCGGAACAGGGTTAATAGAAACTTTGAATTTTAATTCTTCTCATCTGTTCTACATTTTTTCCCCAGTAATTTCTGTACTAATAAAACTTAAACATGTCGACTTTATTCCAATAAGCAGAATAACCAGTTGCTTAATATATACTCATTAAACTCCAACAATGCACTACCTTTAAATATTGAAATAGATTACAGATTTTAGGGCATAATGGTAAAATATTTGGGAACAGTAAAGGCTGTAGGATTTGTTGAAGTAAAGAATAAAATGATGATTTATCACTTTAATGCAAACTCAATTTTATTGTTTAATGGAGTTTTGGTTTTATTTTTGTTCTTGGGAAATCTTGAGTAGTTGATTTTGTGTATTTTCAGGTCTTTCAAACATGATGTCAGATGGTGAGTTTTTAAGAACAAGTTGTGGCTCACCCAACTATGCTGCACCAGAAGTAATTTCAGGAAGGTAGTATTTGACACCCACCCCCATACATTTGTAATTGCCTTTTTCTCTTAGAGTTTGTTAGTCTATAGTGTCATATTTAATCCTAGTGAAAGGAAACAAATTTAAGGCTTATTCTTTTATCCAGAAAGTGTTCTGTTTTAAGAATAAAACATTATAAGTGAATAAGTGTTAAGGACTCCATTTATAGGAGAGAATGTTGGTTTGCAAGTCAATATTATATTAAAGTAGTTAGATGAGAGGACTTTCACCTTTTTCCCTGGTGGAAGAAATTGAAGGTTTAAAACTAGTGAGTTTTAAAGGTAGGTAAGACATTAAAAAGTTGAATAATACAGAAATATCTAGTAGTTAGAAATGGTTTACTATTTACTTAGATGAAAAATTAAAAGTGTAATGTGTACCTTTAATTTTTCAAATAGGTGGCATTTTGTAGTAGCTTTAGGTTTTATGGTAAGGTGTCTTGGGGAATTGGACTGAAGTATTGATAAAATCTTCAGACTTTATTTTTTTTTTGGTGAAGAAGATTGGCCCTGAGCTAACATCTGTTGCCAATCTTCCTCTTTTTGCTTGAGGAAAATTGTCGCTGAGCTAACATCTGTGCCCATCTTCCCCTATTTTGTATGTGGGACGCCACCACATCATGGCTTGATGAGCTGTGTGTAGGTCCGCACCCGGGATCCACACCCTCGAACCCCGGGGCACCTAAGCAGAGCATGCAAACTTAACCACTATGCCACCAGGCTGGCTCAGACTTCATTTATTTTAAATTTTGATTGTTTAAATCTTTTAGAGACTGCACCGTTATAAGAATTCTGACCTCTTAATTTACTAACCACTAGCATTGAGAACATGAGGATCTTTGTACAGTGCAGCTTTTCAACTAGGTTAGATGATAGGAAAATTTAATTTTTTAAAGGGTAATTGTTCTTCACTATAACACTGAAATTGAAAACAGAGAAGGTTAAGTTTACTAGTTTTTATAATTAACTTTTTTTTTTTTTTATAATTTTTTAATTTATTTTTCCCCCAAAGCCCCAGTAGATAGTTGTATGTCATAGTTGCACATTCTTCTAGTTGCTGTATGTGGGACGCGGCCTCAGCATGGCTGGAGAAGCAGTGCGTCTGTGCGCGCCCAGGATCCGAACCCGGGCCGCCTGCATCGGAGCGCACGTACTTAACCACTAAGCCAAGGGGCCGGCCCTTTATAATTAACTTTTAATGTTCTTTCACTCAAACCACATTTCTTTGTTTTAATGTTTCACATCCTCATTCATTTGGAGTGCAGAAATATTGTAGTATTGTAGTATTTTCTTTCTATTTTCATAAGCTTGTAGTATTGTAGTATTTTCTTTCTATTTTCATAAGCTTGCTTGCCTAGCCTGCTTAGAGAGTAAAAGCATGGCTATGAATAAGGCAGAAGTATCTAATATTAGATTTATCAAGCTTCACCATTATCTTTGTATTGTCTAAATTCTTTTGGGAAGAAAACAATTCAAGACCTGGATACTGGGGGCAGTGTTAATTAAATGAATAAAAAGAAATGTAGTTTTGCATATATGCAGTGGGCCATTACTGAAGTCTAATTTTCCCAGTTTGGATGAGGTCTTTCTGTGAGGTCTGGATGAATGGAAACTTACTTTGAAAACAATATTTATTGATCCGTTCAACAATTTATTTCACCAATTTAAAGACATCCTTTCCCTGAAGCTAGATTTTGAATGGGTTATCTAACTAGTCTGCAGCTAGTTAAGTCAGTTGGCTAGAGTGGATAGCATATAGGAGTTTAAAATCTTCTATGAACGAGTTAGCTTGGCTTTCTTGCACAGCTGAAGGCCCCTTTTACCTTGGTAGGAGGTCTTGGGTTATTGGGGAGAGTAGGTTTCGAGTCCATCACGAAAGAACATTCTCAGTTGATGAAAGATCATTTAATCTCTCCTCTGTAACCAAAAACAATGGTTTTAAATTTAGTAATGAAATATTTGTTCAAGGGTTGGCCCTATTGGTTGAATCTCATGAGGATTGTAGTAAGAACAGAATTTTAGCTATAGTCTATAACTTAAAAAAATTCTTAACTTTTGTTTTCAAAGATAGTACTGATAGAATTATTATAGAATCTCTATGTGTAGTGTACAGCAGTGACTATTGAAACCATATTCTGACTGATAATTCTTTATGAAGTATCCATATTTAACATTTTTAATTGATTGACTCTTAAGTTACTTATGATTCTTTAATCCAACTGGTATTTCCTGTTACAGATTGTATGCAGGCCCAGAGGTAGATATATGGAGCAGTGGGGTTATTCTCTATGCTTTATTATGTGGAACCCTTCCATTTGATGATGATCATGTGCCAACTCTTTTTAAGAAGATATGCGATGGGATCTTTTATACCCCTCAGTATTTAAATCCGTCTGTGATTAGCCTTTTGAAACATATGCTGCAGGTGGATCCCATGAAGAGGGCCACAATCAAAGATATCAGGTAATAAAGCAACTTGGAGATCATCAGATCTAATAGTATCAATGATATAAGTTAAGTGAAAGAAAAAGTTGCAAGACAGTATGTACAAGGTAATCCTGTTTTTATGTTAAAAAAGACAGTGTAGACACATTTATTTATTTTATTTTGCTATTTAAAAATACACACAAAACTGGCTTCCTTAGGGCCATAAGATTGGTAGGAGGGAGGGCTTTCACTTTTTACTTATGCATCTTTCTTTGTTTTGAAATTGTAACAGTGAACATTATATTACTTTTTAAATTAAAAACAAAAGCTAATGAAAAATAAAAAGGATCCTGGTGGGGTGTTAGATTTTGTAGTGGCTTTAAAATTTTCTATAGTATGCTTCATATTTGAGTTTTATGTAGTCTCATCAGGATTAATACTTTATAGTAGTAAGTTTGTGTGTTGCTCTTTGAGTTCTGATCTCATGAATTATTGTATTTTTTCCTTTTGTTCATCTCAAGGAATGAGAAAATTTTAAGCAATGATTTTTTTTTGTAGTAGTGTACATTGAATCACATATGAAATTGCTGTTTTGTAGGTAAAAAAATCCCTCAATATTGCCAGTTTCATGTGGTTCAACCTAAGAGTTTAAGTAAGGCAGTAGTAACGATGACAAATCTACTTCTCACATTTGGGCGAGCCATTTCTGACGAAGACTTGAAAAAATCACTGCAAACTTTGTTTCTTCTGCCCTCATTGTTTCCTTCTCTTTTTTTCCCTGTGGCAATTTCTCTTTTGGTCTTCTAATGGTTAGATAGCACATTTCTCTGAGATGGAGGAACAAGGAAGAAAGAAATCAGATGTAGATCTAGGAATAGTAAATAAGAAAGCATTAGGGTAATGAGGAAGAAGGAAAGAGCATATGTAGAACTTAAAGCTTGATTCCTTTCCTTTTAGTCCATATGCTGTAGACTGGCTAAAAAAGAGACCATGATTGGCAGGGCATGACTTTACCACCAGAGGAAAAGGACAAATCATTCTCTAAAATTTATACGGTAGTGCGTCTCTTAACGATGGGGATACGTTCTGAGAAATGCGTCATTAGGCGATTTCATCATTGTGGGAACGTCATAGAGTGTACATATACAAACCTAGATGATGTAGCCTACCGCACACCTGGGCTGCATGGTACTAATCTTATGGGACCACCATCATGTATGTGGTCCATCGTTAACCAAAACACCATTATTCAGAGCATGACTGTATTTTAAAATATCTAAGTGAGAGATGCTTTTTCTTGTGTTATACATATTTTTCCGATTTAAATGTAACATGACAATTGGAAAAGACTTGGAAAATGACAAAAAAAAAATAGAGAACTAAAATGATCTTTGATTCCATCACCCAGAAGATAATCATTGTTCTTTTGGGTGTTTCCTCTCTTGATGTTTTAGTTTCAGCATAGTTTTTGACACAGTTCAACTGAAACGTGTCCTATTATATGTGAAGTTGGGAAATCCTCAGTTCCTTCATTTAAGGGGATATTATTATCTTCATAGAGTTGTTTTGAGAATGAAGTCAGATAATGTATATGAAGTGTTTAGCTTAAAACCTACCACCTAGTAAGCACTCGATGGTAGTTGTCTATTTTTGTTGTTGTTATATTTTTTTCATTTAACATTATATCAGAAGAGTATTATAATGAAGCCCACAGAATATGTTCTCTTTCTGAGCTGGAAATAAGCTAGTCTTTGTCATTTGTTTGTCATTGTCATTTGTTCCAAAACTTTAAATAAAAGTGTAGACATTTCTTGTTGCTACAGCAATGCTTTCTGAAAATCAGAGGGAGGCTGGAGCATTTCCCCCAATACATACAATAAAATGTGAGCCAGAAGAGGAAAATCTCAGTTTAAAAAATGATAATGCCATAAGAGTATAAACACAAATATCCTAAATTCCTCAAACTGCTATTTTCAATCTCATCTCTGCTCAAAATCCTTCTCCTGACTCTGCCATTTTCTCTTAGGGAACATGAATGGTTTAAACAGGACCTTCCAAAATATCTCTTTCCTGAGGATCCATCATATAGTTCAACCATGATTGATGATGAAGCCTTAAAAGAAGTATGTGAAAAATTTGAATGCTCAGAAGAGGAGGTTCTCAGCTGTCTTTATAACAGAAATCACCAGGACCCTTTGGCAGTTGCCTACCACCTCATAATCGATAACAGAAGAATAATGAATGAGGCCAAAGATTTTTACCTGGCGACAAGCCCACCTGATTCTTTTCTTGATGATCACCATTTCACTCGGCCCCATCCTGAAAGAGTACCATTCTTGGTTGCTGAAACACCACGGGCACGCCATACCCTTGATGAATTAAATCCACAGAAATCCAAACACCAAGGTGTAAGGAAAGCAAAATGGCATTTGGGAATCAGAAGTCAAAGTCGACCCAATGATATCATGGCAGAAGTTTGTAGAGCGATTAAACAACTGGATTATGAATGGAAGGTAAGAAAGAAAGCATTCTGATTGTTGGCACATTTGGCAAACCTGTAGTCTGAAAATGTTTTCTAGAAGAATTGCTTTTGACTCTGTTTTTGTCCATACCATATGCTAGGTTGTAAACCCATATTATTTGCGTGTTCGAAGGAAGAATCCTGTGACAAGCACCTACTCCAAAATGAGTCTACAGTTATACCAAGTGGATAGTAGAACATACTTATTGGATTTCCGTAGTATTGATGGTATGTACGTCACACAACGCAACACAGTTGACATATTAGACCTTGTTACTTACCTTGGCGTTTTAGTCTTGGTTCTTTTGAAGCTTCTTGAATTACTCCTAGTAATTCAATAGCAAAAGAATATTAAAATGTGAGATTTGGTGCATTTGTGATGTCAACATTTGTGAATCTTCTTGTAATTTTATAGTGTATTGTCCTTTTTTTTTTTTTGGTGAGGAAGATTAGCCCTGAGCTAACATCTATTGCCAGTCTTCTTCTTTTTGCTTGAGGAAGATTGTCCCTGAGCTAGCATCTGTGCCAGTCTTCCTCCATTTTTTATATGGGATGCTGCCACAGCATGGCTTGATGAGTGGTGTGTAGGTCTGTGGCTGGGATCCGAACCTGTGAACCCCAGGCTGCCACCAAAGCAGAGCATGCGAACTTACCCACCACGGCACCGGGCCAGCCCTGTATTGTCCTTTTAAGATTATCTTTTTGGGAGATCCTAAAGCCAGATGCAGTATGATCCTAAAGTGATAGTTTCTGCCACATTTCTGTGTTTTGGTGTGGTTCATTTTTGTTAGATAAAATGTTTTATTTAGAAACAAATGTTGACTTTTCTGTAATTTTTTGTTATTAAATATGTTTTATATCTGATATTTAATAAAATTTTTCTTTTTCATGTAAGAATTAAAGTACAGGGCCGGCCCAGTGGCGTAGTGGTTCAGTTCGTGCACTCCGCTTCGGCGGCCCGGAGTTTGCAGGTTCAGTCCTGGGCACAGACCTATACACTGCTCATCAAGCCGTGCTGTGGTGGCATCCCACATAAAAAATAGAGGAAGCTTGGCACAGATGTTAGCTCAGAGACAATCTTCCTCAAGCAAAAAGAGGAAGACTGGCAACAGAGCTTCCTCACCAAAAAATAGAATTAGAGAACAGTTATTAGCTTTTAGAGTTGAGTGATGAGGCACTGTAAATAGATTTGATTAGTAGCTCATAGGACAAGGAATTATTTGCTGAGTTAGGTTTCTTTCAGGGGACTGAGAAGGAAATATTTGGTACACTTTAGGGACTTACGGTTATTTTTTTCTTCTGAGCTAGCCTTTTCCTCCTAGCCTAACCATAGAGACGTAATCAGAGATATGCATCCTGTATTAATTTTGTGAGAGTTACATGATTCCAATTTTATTTACCTTTCAGTAAAATGTTCTTAAATAATCAGTTTTCTTTGGAATGTACTGTATATGAATTCTTGGGACTAAAGCATTTTATGTCCAAGATAACTATCATAGTTAGTTAAAAGTGACAGTGTTAACCTTAAACCAGGTCTGCTGTACACTTATTTACCTAGAATCATAAACAATCATAGACAACCTGATGATCAAATTACTGAAATATTTAAAATTTTAAGTTAAGTCTTTGAATTGGTCATCAAAAAAATGACTGCTGCACTGTAAGATCTTCAGATGCCTCCTTGAATTTATTAAAGAAACATTATGTGGAATATTGTTTTCATGTTTTAATAGTTTGAAAATGAAAATCTAAACTCAGAAAGTATATCTCTGATTACCATTAGGTATAGTTTGCCAGAATATCCCTTCAGCTATTTAGATTGATAGAGGTAAATTATTAATTGTAGAAAGCAGACATTTTTGTTTTTGTTGTTTTTATTTTTAAATGGAAAAATATATGCATAAATAAATGAATAAATTATAACAGACTTCTAGTAAATGGTGCAATATCATAACATGGTTTGAAATTTACATTAATTCAGATTTCCCATGCGTATACACTCTTAAAGCTAATTTACCTTATCTATTAAAAAGCCTGATGGAACACACTTGACTCATAATTCAAGTAAACATTCTCTTTCTTTACCCAAGAGAATATTTATAAAACAGTATAGATGTATATATAAATGTTCTGTCACACACAGAGCCTTTAATTAAGTACAAGTTTCTGCCAGTTCTTCTTTGGCCAATCGATTGAGTTAAGATATGTTGCCACTTTTGTTCATCTAAGATTGTATGGAATTATCAGATGAGATTCACCTATGAATTTTTTGCCTTCTTTATAAACTCAAAGATAGTAGCTACATAGTATCAGAAAGACACAGGTTTGTGATATGCTGGCCAAACCTGTTTGTCTGCTTATCTTTATGTCTACAGGGTATTTACCTGATAACGCACACTAATGCAGTCTGAGATATGGGTGTTATTTTTCTCACTGTATTTGGATCAGATTCCCAACCTTAGGTTTATTAGCACCTGGATTTACCAATTGAATGACCATTTATTGTTTTTGTATTGTGTTCCCAACTTTAAATTTTCCTTGATTTTTGTTCAATGGAATTGTTGCTCTTTTATGAGATCTTGAATCAAATATGGAGAGAAAGTGGGAGAGTGAAAAGCACTGAGATGAGAGTTAGGAGACTTGGATTCTAATTTCCCTCTCTGTTCATTTGTTTCCTATGGCAAGTCACTGAACTTTTGGGGGTTTATGTTTTCTTATCAATAAAAGGAGGAGTTGGATAAGGTGATTTCTAAGATTCCTTCCAAAATTTAAGTGCATTTGTTGTATGATTTTAATATAGAGGGATTAATTTTTATTGCTAGGTAACAATGTTTATTAGTTTATTGGGCTCTTAATCTTGGATTGCAAGACTGATGAGTAGCTCTATACTAGACTCAATCTCCATTAGTCATCAGGAGAATACATACTGTGTGTATAAAAGGCGAGTGTTTTAACACAGATTCATTGCCTCTGTTTTAGAAGGTATTCAAAATAAACACATTTTTGATAGCTGGTCAGTGGTCTCACTCACAGAAGCAAATTACCATTAAAAAAATTGGGAGGGAGTATTGTGGATTATAATAAATAGAAATTTTATTTACCCAGATGAAATTACTGAAGCCAAATCCGGGACTGCTACTCCACAGAGATCGGGATCCGTTAGCAACTATCGATCTTGCCAAAGGAATGATTCAGACGCTGAGGCTCCAGGAAAATCCTCAGAAGCTTCTCTTACCTCATCAGTGACCTCACTTGACTCTTCTCCTGTTGACTTAACTTCAAGACCTGGAAGTCACACGATAGAATTTTTTGAGATGTGTGCGAATCTAATTAAAATTCTTGCACAGTAAACCTAAAACTTTGCTTATTTCTTTGAGAGCAATAAGCATGTATAATAAATCATAGCCAAATGCTTCCATTTATAATCAAGTTATATATAACTATAACTGAAGATTGGCCTTTTGGAATGCAATTTGCACAGGGATTGGAATGTGATTAATAGTTAAAAGCCTAATGTGCAAAAATGAATTAAGATAATTTTGTTGTTCATTGTTGAGTAGGCATATAGCATAATATAATATACACAATGAATTATAGGACTCTCAGGCTCGCTTGATTTTTGGCTATTTTATATTTAGTGTACACAGGGCTTTGTAGAATATTAATTTACCATAAAGGCCTTGATATATTATTACATGTTGATGTGTTATATATTTGCTTCATAAATTTATTCAATAAATATTTGCGTAGAATCCCCAGAGACCTTTATAGATGATTTTGTTTTCTGAGCTCCTTAACTTCTTGAATAGCATCTATCTTCCAACAGTAGGAACAGTCTGGATGACTCTTCCATATCTCCCCTTAATATTCTGTAGTATATGGTAAGTCACATCAAAGGTTTTAGACACAATTAGAATTTTTTCTTTAGCTTGGTAAGTCAAAAACACACAGAACTTATATATTCAGATACTCTAGGCAGTAAGTTTAATCTTACAACTTGTCCCACTCTATTCTGTACATAAATTGCTGTTTTTGTCACAAGAGCTGAGTTGCATATACTGTATGTAAATCATCTTGTTTTTGCCAGTCTCACAAATTCTGCTGCTCATCATGTCAGCCAGTATTGAATGTATGCAGAAATTTCTAGCATTCGATTATGTATCTTTTAAATTGATTCAGTGCACAGAAAGCACATCTCTTACAAACTGTTTAAACGCTCAGATAAGACTTTTTCTCCCAAATTTTATTATGAACATTCTTAGAAAAATTGAAAGTCTGAAGGGTGATCACATGTGTATCTACCACTTAGATTCAATACTTAACATTTTTCCATATTTGCTTTGTCTATATCTGTGTATATAGATATAGTTATACACATATATGTTTGTATATATATGCTGTTCCCCCCCTGAGCCATTTGGATGTTGCAGACATACTCGTCACCCCTCAACATTTCAAGCATCTCCCAAAAATGATGACATTTTCCTAAAAAACCATAACACCATTATAAAATTAATAATTCCCTAATGTCATCTAATCATGCATATTTAGATCTCCCCAGTTGTCCTCCAAATTTCTTTTATAGTTGGTTATTTCAAACTAGGATTCAACTAAAGTTTACACATTGCATTTGGTTATGTCTCCTTAGATATGACATTATTATTCTGATAAAATATGGAACAAATCGGTTAGTTCTTCTAGATGGTCACATTTGTTTTGGATTTTAAGTACTTTTTAAAAAGTAGGATTATGAGAACTGCCTAAAGATGCTTAATCTTCCTAAGATCTCTGATTCATATTTTCTTTTTCTTGCTCTTAGTAATAGCATTACATAATAGGTGTAAATGAAGATTTAAAGTCACCTCAGATAAAATTGGTATCATGTATGCTAATAAAAAATAAAAAAAACACTATCACCCATAATTGCCTTATACTATTTTAACTTCAAGAAATTGATTTTTTTGGGGGGGGATATTAATCATTTTTCCATTGCAACAGAGCTACCTTTTGTTCTCTTTTAAGACTCTGTATTATAGGATTGGTTTGGGAAATCCATTGAGCACCCATGTAACCAGACAGTAATGTACTCAAATGTCATGATAGCTTGCATAAATAATTACTGTAGTTGTAGATTTGGCTCCAGCACCTCTAGAAACATGCACTGAATTTAAAAGAAAAATGTTTTTTCTTTTTTGTCTGGGGCTTGTTCTCTTCAACTTAGAATCGGAAAGCTGTATAAATTAATAGAGGAGTTCCATTTAAATATAAGTTCAAACTGTATTTATAATTTGTGTGTGGCCCTCTGTTTTGGGGATATTGATTTCATGTAGGGTCTCTAAATGCAGCATTTTGTTCCTGCTGTTAAGAACAGAAGACTGTATTTTTAAAGTTACATTTGTATATAAAACTAAGACATCGCCGTAATGTCTCTATTAGCTGTTAAGGGGAGGAGGGAACTAAAGGAGGAACCAATTAAATAGGACCTTCTAAAAATTGTTAATTTTGTAAACTTTGCTTCTTTTTTAAGTTATTGTGATTCCTTTTAGTTACTGAGTTTTATTTTGAAGATATTTAAATATTGCACTTGTACAAATAGTATAAATACACAGACTATTGCAGTAAATTCTTTTTTAAGCTGGGATATTTGAAATGATAACTTTTGGTTGAGTGTGTCAAGGTTGCATCAGAATTTTCACAAATTTATTGTAGTTTGCAAATTCTTATTAAGTGAAGATATAAGAGAGTCAATGCAAATGATTTTTAATCTTTTTTTATTATCTTTTCAGCAATTTATATTTTTTTGTGATTTTATGCAACCATATTTTTACTTTGTCTTGACAACTGAAAGATGTATAAGGTTTTTGCCAGAAATGTACTGTATACATAGTTTTAAATATAACAGATTTTACTGATATGTAAAAATTTTGCCATTAAAATAAATGATTTCTCACTGAGAGGAACTTTTCTACCAGGTTGGGGGATATGGGAGCTTAATATATCATATCTAATTTAAAATAATTTCACTGAAATAAACTCCATTGCTTTCACTTTGATGATATTTTCTCTTGAGATGCTTTTGTAGTTTTTCAGAGTTTTAAATGATTTTCTACAGAAAGTCCTGCCCTCTGCCCTGCCCACCCCCCACCCTTTTGACCTTGTAGTAATACCATTTACGTTGAATTAATGTTGGGTGGACTGTGGCTGGATGTAGAATTTCATGCATCTATACTCTGGCACATTTGGAATGAAAGAAAAATGTGTGTCGTTAAAATCTTTTCCCCTTAATTCCTTCCATCTCCCTCATCCACAATAAAAATCTCATTTTTGTTGTGAGTTCTCCTGACGAGATGAATAAAATTCCACGTACAATATAACTAAATTGGTAGTAGGGTAGAAATCGATCTTTGTGGTACAATATCTCTGAGACGTTCATGGATGTTTTGACTGGAGTATATCTAAGTAGACAATTTCAAATAATTTGATTTAGAAAGTGGATAAAAAAGGAAAACATTTTTCATCTGTTACAATGTGCTTAACTTTTTTAACTTCTGGAAAAACAATGAAAAAAAGAAAGCTCTTGTTCATGGCTGACCATCTGCATCTTTTTAACAATGTGCCTAAATATAAAATATAGTGCTTGAATAAATTTTAGCACTCAAACATTGTGATTTTTGTCTCAACTAAGTTAGGTTTAATTTCATCTAAAAATTAGCCAACTGAACAAAATATTAATATATGTACAATAAAAACCAAAGCGGTTACCATGTCTCTCGGTGCTAACACTGGATTTGGTTGGAATTCCACTATGTTAGAATCCAATTAGCGTGAAATCTTCCATCCCGTCTGGCACTGTTAGGCAGGCTTGTGCTAGATTGTTGGCATTCTAAATCCTTAAAATAGCTTGATAATTGTAACAAAAGAAAATAGTACTAAAGAGTGTTAATTAATAGCACATAAGATTGTTCTTTAGAGAACTTATAAATTGCTCTAAGTATTTACCCTGACTGTAGAAAATTGTACAAGAAATTCTCTTGTTTGAAAAATCAATATTTATTGAACTCTTCTATTTATTGTAAACAAATGGACTGTTCTATTTATTGTGAATGTCAATAAATGTTAACTATGATAGATTTAGAAGATTTCTAGCAATTTGGAAGATGATCATGTTGTCTATAAACAGACAGCATGGGAAATGTATTAAATACATCATCAGGTACATCAAGATCAGAGACCAAAGTAAGTAGAGAAGTGGTGGGTGAAGTGTGAAAATGTACAGTTTGGAGATAGACTTTACCAGAATAGGATGGATCAAGGTTAAATTATTTGAGAGATTTAGGAAAGACCCCTCGAAAGGGGTACATCTTCAAGCACTACTTAATAACTCACTCTGCAAACTATATCCCCTCAAAAGGCTACTATGAACCAAACACTATGAATGTGACCATAAGGCATAAATTCTGCTCTGAGTGTCTGGTTAGGGAGATAGATATTTTTAAAGACTTTCATAGAGGTACGTACAGAAAAGTGCACAAATCATAACTGTTTGGCTCAATGAATTTTCAGTGTTTTTAGGTTTGCAGTGAACATGGCCATGTAAACCTCTACCCAGATTAAGAAACATTGCCACCACCTTAGTGTTTTTTATAATTAATATACCTATCCTGTAGGTAACAGAACAACTCTGGTATGATGTGGGAAGGATCTGCACAGTGTGAATGCTGGGAGTAGGGATCATAGGAGGCTGTCTTGGAAGCTGGCTACCACAAGCATGCATTGATCATTTTGAAAATACTGGTTCATTTATGGAGCTCTTACAAATGTTGATGCATTTAATCTAACAATATAAATAAAAATCACATCTGGTGTCACCACTGATCTCATCAGAAAAGTCTGGAAGTATTGGGAAGCTGTCAAGATCATTATGGCAAACAAGTTTTCCAAAATCATAATTTTTGCTTAAATTCTTGAATTTTACCAGCAGCAACACTGTCACTTGTTTTTCTTGAGGTAACAGACTCCCTTTGTTCATTTTCAAGAAAAGTTGTGTCAAATACCCAAGTCTGAATTAGCTGGTCTGTCAGTCGTTCTTCTGAGTAAAAGTTATATTCCACGAAAAGAGTATTTACTTCAGTTTATAATGCAGTCTCACAAGTGCTTTTACTGGAGACATCATGCTTCAATATACAGCAGAAATACTTTATGAGTACTTCCCATTTTGTCATACAGAATATTAAGAAGGTCAAGGGTCATTTTATTTATTTTTTTTATAATGTTATTTATTTATTTTCCCCCAAAGCCCCAATAGATAGTTGTATGTCATAGCTACACATCTTTCTAGTTGCTGTATGTGGGATGCGGCCTCAGCATGGCTGGAGAAGCGGTGCGTGGGTGCGCGCCCGGGATCCTAACACGGGTGGCCAGCAGCGGAGCGGGCGCACTTAACCGCTAAGCCACGGGGCCGGCCCCTTGGGGTTATTTTAATAATTTTATTTATTTATTCATTTTTTCCCCCAAAGCCCCAGTAGATAGTTGCATGTCATAGCTGCACATCCTTCTAGTTGCTGTATGTGGGACACCGCCTCACCATGGCCGGAGAAGCAGTGCATCGGTGCATGCTGGGTATCCAAACCCAGGCCGCCAGCAGCGGAGCACGCGCACCTAACCGCTAAGCCACGGGGCCAGCCCTGGAGGGTCATTTTAATAAAACAGTTTTTACTGCTTCATCAAGGACATTCTTGAGTGACGGTATTTTTTTCCCTGCTATGAGTGTGTGGTGGTGAAGAATACAATGGCTTCTAGTACAGTTTGGTATCGTTGTCTTAATTTGTGCTGAGGCACCAGCAGTTTTGCCCACCACTGCTTTTCCACTATCAGTGCAAATGTCAACATTGTGAAAAAGGCAAATGATGTCTTCCTATTAGTATGAAAATAGTTTTGACTTTTGAAAAGGTCTTGGCTACCCTCGGAGGTCTGAGAATCATTGGTTCACATCAGTGGTTCTCAATGGGGCAGGGGTGGTGCCATGATTTTTCTTCCAGGGGCATTTGGCAACGTCTGGAGACATTTTTGGTCGTCACAACTCATGATGGTGGTGGTAGTGGATGCTAAAGACATCTAGTGCATAGAGACCAGGGATGCTGCTAAACAGCCTACAGCACACAGCAGAGCCCCTCTTCCCCCAACAAAGAATTATCCGGTTTGAAATGTTACAGTGCTGAGGTTGAGAAAGCCTAGTCTACGAAAATGGTCTTCCTTTGCACAAGATAGCTACCTTGATAAGTTAACAATCTTAATTTTTCTATTTCCTAAACACTTTCCTGGGTTACATTTCCCCACTTTATTTTCAAGACATGAGCCACAGCCATTTTCAGGCCATAATTCTCTTTTCTGGGTCCAACTGATATGTTTTTCCGACGTGAAGCCTACAGTTCAACCACGGCCCTCTCTGATCGGCTCCCCTGAACCCATTTTCAATCGAGTTTTGCGTCTGTCCTCCGCATCTGCTCGGCCTCATCAGCTAGGTTGTCAACTCTTTCAGAGCACGCCCGCGCCTCGACTGCTTTACCCGCTGACTGCGTGCGCCGCGCGGTTTGTCCGGGACTCACTCCCTCCGCGCGCACCTCAGCCCGCGCAGCCGCAGTTTCTCGTGTCTCTGCATTGCGATCGCCCACGCGGCCGACGCTTCGGGCTGCTGCTAGAGGGCGCTCCGGGCCGCGGTGGTCCAAACTACAAATCCCAGAGGGTAACGGGGATGGGGGCGGCCGCGGTGACTTTTGGGAGTTGTGGTCCCGGGGAAGAGACTGGCGTGAGACAAAGGCTCTGAGACTCGCCTCTTCCTCGCTCGCTTCTCTGCACGGTTCGGAATCCGTGGGTCGGCCAGCTTCATTTCTTGAGAGACCAGGCGCCCAAGGTAAGCAAGCAGGATGTTGGGCATAATTTCCGTTTCCGGTGGGCAAAGGTCAAGCGGAATGTAAACACGGGACCTGGGGAGTGGTTATCAGGTAACTGGGGTTACTCGGTGCGTGGTGAAAGCCGGAGGAAGAGAGGCAAACGAGGCGAGTGGGTCTGTGGTCGGGGGAGAAAGGAGCTTCAGAAGTCGGAGGTGAGACTCAACCACACTGTGGCAGAGTCGGGACACTAAGGTTGGTCTCTAGGGACGAGCACGTCTGGGGGTCGGGCCGCCCATGCCCCCGCGCCTGGGGCGGCTGCCGCACTCCGTAGGCTGACCGTGCGGCTTGGATCTCCGTAGCGCTGGGAGGGCGGATCCCAGCCTCTTTCCACCCCTCCTTGGTGGTGTCTGCGGCGGAGGGCGGGGCTGGGGAACTCGCAGGTGACGTCCAGGACAGCCTGTATGAACTTCGCACATTTTTATTGTTATGGAAAATGAAGGAAAGTCGCCAATACTGGTTTCTGTTGCGGTGATATTTTCGGGCCCATTGTTTCTTGAATTCCTCACTTCTGAATACATCCCTGTACCCGGAAGGATGCTGTTTTGATTTCCTGATCGTATTCCTCCAGTGGTTTCTCGCCTGGGGTGCTGCATCCTCCGACGCAGTGAAGACAGGCATTCTCTCTGGCTTGTGGCTGGGTAAACGGTCACAATTTCCATAGACAGTAATTGAGCGCCTACTATAGAGATCATTGTACCAGCAAAAGAATTTAGAATACAACGTCGTTGTTTAGAATTTTCATGGCATTCACTAACTGTAATTCTATATAAAATGAATTTGTGTTGTTTCATGAGTTTAATATGAATCCCATATGATTATGATTTACCCGTATGATTTCTTATCCTGGTGAAAAAAATGTAAAGGTTAGGATATTGATGCCTTGTGCATCTAACTATGGATTCAGGAAAGCCTTCTATATAAGAAGTTTTAATTTCATGTTCAGATAGCTTTAGAGGAACAATAAACTCGTACTGTTTAAGATATCTGAATCAACTCGGGGTGTTAAAAGTTCTGAGGAAGGAAGTGTTTTGCATATGTTCTGGAACGCACCGTCCTTTTAAACCTAGCTAACTTATTCTTCGAAACTTATCCCTTCAGGAAGCATCAAGTGTCTCTTCTCTGACGTCGTAACATCTTTTGTTTACTCTCTAATCGCACTTGAGCTGTATTGTGTTGACTATACTCTTGTGGTCTCCAGACAATTTTGAAGAAAATATAAAACTGTAAAAATATAAAACTAATGGCCTTGGTAGCAGTTTCGTGCTTTTTACCCTTAGTGGGCCCTTGATACTGTTCGATATCTTTACTCATCCCTTGTTTCACTTTTCCTGTACTCCACAATGACTATTTCAGATCTTTTCTATTCTTCTCAAGTGCTCAAATCTATTTGTTTTCCCTTTAGTTGGAGCAGAGGACTAGCCTTCTATTTCTCGGAGAAATGTGAAGCTTAGGGGTGTAAAATCCTGTATTTTCTCTTCCCTCTACCCTTGAACTTGCTTATACTTTTCACTCAGTATCAACTCTTGTCTGAGAGGAAAGTATTCCTGTCTCTGTCTTTAAGGCTAAACTTGTCAGTTGCTGGTGGTCATCAGGCCTTTTATACCCCTATAACTTCATTCTTTCCTAACCTCCAACAGCCTCTGATTTCTAGAAGATTTTAAAGTATTTGTGGAGGAGAATGGCAGAAACACCCGAGGCAGCAGTGTGTGTGGCTTTTTTGTACATGGTTGAGAACCACTGTCTGGGGCCTTAACATTTATAGCAATGGTTTGGGTTGGAGGGTGGGGAGGGTATTGGGAGTCTGAATGACCTATTCGCTTTTTTAAAAAATACATGTGGGTCTGTCTGTCCCTTTTTCCTTTCCTCCCCACCCTAACCCGTGTTCCCAATAGTCTACAGACCTGACCAATGAGTTCAAATATAATTTGCTTTAGTAAACGCACCAGATTTCCATCTGTATTAGTAGGGTTCTCGCACTGCCTGGTGCCTCACATTGCTGATTTAGAAACAAAGTTCCATTTGAAACTTGAAGACGGAAAACGTAATCATCCTCATTCTTGTCACCTTTAAGGACAGTCATAAATACAAGACTTCTTAACTTGACTTATCCTGAGATCTCGTGAGACTTTCCTAACGATCCATTCTATCACAGTCTCACTCTGTGCCTCTGGACTTCTGTTCCATATTAACCACACTTCCATTTTCAGCCATTTCTTGGGTCTTCCCCTGAGTTACATGTAGTCATCTTCAAACATAGGAAACTCATTCTCCTCTATTTTAATGGGTCTGGAGAGAGAGTGTGGCATTGTCCTAATTCCTTAGTATAGTTTATAATCCATTACTTCTCCAGGTTTTTCTAAAAATCCCTCTTCCTGTGGAAAGCATATGGTTCACCCGTGTCAGCCTGTACGTTTCTTTCTTTCTTTTTTTTTTTGTGAGGAAGATTAGCCCTGAGCTAACAACCAATGCCAATCCTCCTCTTTTTGCTGAGGAAGACTGGCCCTGGGCTAACATCCGTGCTCATCTTCCTCTACTTTATAGGGGACGCCACCACAGCATGGCCTGATAAGCAGTGCGTCGGTGCACGCCCGGGATCCGAACCGGCGAACCCCGGGCCGCGAAGCGGAGTGCGTGTGCTTAACTGCTGAGCCACCGGGCCGGCTCCTCAGCCTGTACGTTTCTTGATTGTTGTAACTTGTTGGCACTTCCTCATATTCATTAAGAAATTAGGCATATGGCCCACAATTTTCTTATCCTTCTAAGTTGTGCCATTATTCTGGGCCTTTCCATGTGAATGAACTCACAGCTGCCCTCACTTTTTTTGTCCCTTTCCTTCTAGTGATTACTTACACTTTACTTCAGCCATATGCATCAGTGATGAAGATCCTGATATCTGCTAGAACTTACTGTTTCATTTCTCACGTCCCTTACTCCCATAATGCTCATTCTTTGATAGTTTTATGAAGACCTCTGGTTCATTGCTTTTGCTTACCCCTCTAATTGAGCTAGCCAGCCCTGGTGGTCTAGTGGTTAAGACTCAACACTCTCACTGCTGCAGCCGAGGTTCGTTTTGTGGTCAGGGAACCACACTAACCATCTATTGGTTGTCCTACTGTGGTGGCTGCATGTTGCTGTGATGCTGAAAGCTATACCACCAGTATTTCAAATACCAGCAGGGTCAGCCATGGTGGACAGGTTTCAGCGGAGCTCTCAGACTAAGACAGACTAGGAAGAGGGACCTGGCCACACACTTCCAAAAAAATTGGCCGTGAAAACTCTATGGATAGCAGTGGAGCACTGTCTGATATAGCGCCAGGTGAGAGGATGAGACAAAAAAGACTGGGCAGGGCTCCACTAGGAGTCAGCACTAACAGCAGTTAGTTGATCAGTGAGTTGGGGTCATAGACTTCTTTAGGAATGGAATGAAAGCTTAGACACTCTTCTCCCGAGTGCACACAGGCATATAAAAATTTATATATAATTCCAGGGGGTTCTCAGTCTTTAAGGCCATCCATGTAAGTAGTAAGACTTCTTGGATCCCTCAGTAAATCCCTTCTCTTAATAAATATTTGTTGAATTTTTCCAGGGTTTCCTTTAGCTTTGTTCCATCAATTATCTTCTCTTTCTAACCCTTGCATTTGTATATCATTGCAGATTTATAAAGCAATTTAACATTTATTAAATTAATAAACAATTATTTGTTTTATTAATAACACAAATAATTATTTGTGTTATTAATGGACACCAAAGGTAAGCAGGCCCCAATAGTTCTGTGAATTAGGTCATTTACCAAGTTTGAATATTTAAAAAATTTTTTATTATGGAAGATTTCAAACATACATGAAAAAAGAGAGAAAAGTACAAGGAATCCTATGTACTCATCACCTAACTTCATTCACTGTCAACTCATAGCAATCTTTTCATCTATATTTCTCCTTTACTGAACCCTCCCCCCACCCCCCGCTGATTACATTGAAACAATTCCTAGGTATGTAATTTCATGTGAAATATTTTAGTATGTATTCCTAAAAGATAAGGGTTTTTTTTCTTTTTTTGTTTTTTGCAGGCGAAGATTCTCCCTAAGCTAACATCTGTTGCCAGTCTTCCTCCCTTTTTCTTCCTTTTTCCACCCCAAACTCCCAGTATGTAGTTGTATATAGTGGTAGATTCTTCTAATTCTTCTATGTGAGCTGCCACCACAGCATGGCTACTGACAGATGAATGGTGGTTCCGCACCCGGGAACTGAACCCAGGCCACAGAAGTGGAATGTGCTGAACTTCAACTGCTAGGCTGTCAGGGCTGGCTCTAAGGTTCTTTTAATAAACTTAATTACAATACTATTATCATACCTAAAAAATAAATACCAGTAATTCTTTAATATCATCAAATATCCTCAAACATCAAATCAGTGTTCTGATTTCCCTTTTTGTTTCATGAATGTTTCCTCTCCGTTGGCTTGTTTGAATCTGGAGCTAAACAAGATCCACGCATTCTATTTGGTTAATGTCTCTTAAGTCTCTTAATCTAGGGGTTACCTCCATCTTTCTCTCCTTTTTTTTCCTGGCAGTTTAGTTCTTGAAGAAACCAGTTTTATTTTTCTTTATTTTCTGTTTTTTGCTGTCTGCATCTCTGATGTGTTATTTAGCATGCTCATCTGTATTCCATATCTCTTATAAGCTGTTAGAGGCTGGATCTGATTCAAGGTTAATATTTGGTAAGAGTATTTCGTGGATGGTGTGTCACTTCCATCAGGAGATGCATAATGTCCAATTGTCTTTTTATGATGTTAGCAGCCTTTGATGATGATTGCCTACATCCACTATTTAATAAGGGATTAAAAAATGGTAATAGTCTGATCCTATTATTCCTTCTTCACATATTAGTTGGAATACTTCTATAAAGGGCCAAGTTTGAAATTTAAAGCTGTTTCTTTGGAATTTTCCAGAATGGCTTCCTTTGGATGGAAAAGGAAAATTGGCGAGAAGGTCTCAAAGGTCACTTCCCAGCAGTTTGAGGCTGAAGCTGCCGATGAGAAGGATGTCGTTGAGAATGATGAAGGGAGCTGGCTTCATGCTATTAAACGTAGGAAAGAAATTCTCCTTGAAGGCTGTGCTGAGAAAAGTAAACAGCTGAAGGATGAAGGAGCCAATTTGGCTGAAAATAAACGGTAAGTTTTTAGAGTTTTTAAATAGAGAACAGTTTATATTTTCTGACTCACTGTCAGTATTGGGATGAAGAGTTATGAATTCTATAAATTCATGTTTTTAAAATCTGATCTAGTTGCTAAATTAATCAAAGAAATAAGTTTTATTCTTTTTTTTTTTTGGTGAGGAAGAGCAGCCCTGTGCTAACATCTGATGCCAATCCTCCTTTTTTTTTTTTTTTTTCTGAGGAAGACTGGCCCTGGGCTAACATCCGTGCCCATCCTCCTCCACTTTATATGGGACGCCGCCACAGCATGGCCTGACAAGCAGTGCGTTGGTGCGCATCCGGGATCCCAACCGGTGAAGCCTGGGCCGCCGCAGTGGAGCACCCGCACTTAACCGCTTGCGCCACCGGGCTGGCCCCATAAATAAGTTTTAAAATCACCTTTAAACATTCCCACAGAATCCTAAAGTTTATAAAAGAGTCTTCAAGATGCTTATAATGTCTTTGCTTTGCCATCATTTTTGTGCTGTCTAAAGTAGAGTAAGTGCTAAGTAAAATTTAGTCTAACTTATTGGTTGGTAGGAGATGGTCTAATTTCTGCATACTTTCTCCTTGTAATATTATGTACCAGATAAATTAGATGTTTTCTGAACAGCTTTGAAGGCATATATTGTTTAAAAAAATAGTTGTTCAGTTAAGCTTTTCCATTGACTTCTTATGTACTTTAGTAAACATGGTTTGGTGCACAGGAATTTAATAATAGCTTCATTTATTCTCAGTCCTTCGTCAGCTAAGCTCTTATACTTCTCCTATTGGCACACTTTTCTTTTTTCCTTTCCTCTTTTCCTACCTTCTTATTCCTTTTCCCTTCTGCTTAGATCTTTCAGTGGGATCAAAAATCATTCTTCCACAAATCAGTGGGGAAAGGACAAATTGTTTAGTAGATTGTACAGAGAAAGCTGGAATTCTATATAGAGGAAAATAAAATGATCTGTATCTAATACTACATACAAAGATGGACTCGAGAGGGATCAAAAACCTCAATGTGAAGGGTAAAACTACACAGTTAATAAAAGAAAATATAGAAGGGTATGTTTATAACCTAGAGGTGGAGAAGGACTTTTTTATTTTTAAAAATTTCACATCTGTATAAAAGTTGAGGGCCGGCCCCGTGGCTTAGCGGTTAAGTGCATGTGCTCCGCTGCTGGCAGCCCGGGTTCGGATCCCGGGCTCGCACTGACGTACTGCTTCTCTGGCCATGCTGAGGCCGTGTCCCACATACAGCAACTAGAAGGATGTGCAGCTATGACATACAACTATCTACTGGGGCTTTGGGGGAAAAAAATAAAAAATAAAAAAAATAAATAAATAAAATTATTATATTAAAGTTGAAAGAATAGTGCCACCCCCATATTCCCTTTACTAGACTCAAAAATTCTTTTTTTTTTTTTTAAAGATTTTATTTATTTAATTTTTTCCCCCCAAAGCCCCAGTAGATAGTTGTATGTCATAGCTGCACATCCTTCTAGTTGCTGTATGTGGGACTCGGCCTCAGGATGGACGGAGAAGTGGTGCCTCGATGCGCACCCGGGATCCGAACCCGGGCCACCAGCATTGCAGCGCGCACACTTAACCACCAAGCCACAGGGCCGGCCCTAGACTCAAAAATTCTTAATAATTGCTTTATTTATCTCTTCCTACACACACACATAATTGTCTATTTACAGTTTTTTTTTTTTTTTTTTTTTTTTTTTTTTTTTTTTGTGAGGACCAGCCCTGAGCTAACATCCGATGCCGATCCTCCTCTTTTTTGCTGAGGAAGACTGGCCCTGGGCTAACATCCTTGCCCACCTTCCTCTACCTTATATGGGACGCCACCACAGCATGGCTTAACAAGCGGTGCGTCGGTGCACGCCCGGGATCCGAACCGGCGAACTCCCGGGCCGCAGCAGCTGCACTTAACCACTTGCGCCACCAGACTGGCCCCAGTTTTTACAGTTTTTTTGCTGATCTATTTGAGAGTAACTTGCAGACATTATGACAGCTCACCTCTAATTCAGCGTGCTTCTCCTAACGATAAGGATATTCTCTTAGCAAACACAATAACTATCAAACCTATGAAAATTAACAATTCTGTAATCTAATATCCAGTCCATATTTAGATTTTTCCAATTTTCACCTAAATATATTTTATAGTCTCTTTTTAAAACCAGGATCCAAACAGAGTTCACACGTTGCGTTTGGTTATTGTATCTCTTTAGCGTCTACTTTGGTCTCCTACTTTCATCCCCCATGCCATTGACTTTTGAAGAGTCTTCCATTTGCTTGTTTCCTTCTGGATGTCATTTAACTTCTTCTTCTATCTCATGTATTTCTTGTAAACTGAAAGTTAGGTGTTGAGGTTTGATTTAGATTCTGATTAACATTTTTGGCAAGAATACTGCGTGGTAATGTTTGTGCTCTGTATTGCATCACACTGGGAGAAATAACATCAGGCTCTTCTTAGTGCAGCTATTTAAAGACATCATGCTCAAGTTACTCTGTTTACTGTGTTTGATATCTGCTGAAAGTCATATTTTTATAAAAATCTTGGTACACTTATCCTTGGTGAAGGAAATATATTGGGAATACTACACTCGACAACATGAGGACTGTTGATTTGTTTGCACTAAAGATGGGATTTTTGGAAGATATATGTATGGTCAGCAGGAATAGTATCTGAATAGGTCTTTGGACAGAATACTCTTCAGATCTAAAATCTAAAATCAGGCCTGTGTGCCTTCGACTGGTACCGTCTGTGGGGTATTGAAGAGTGAGAAATTAAAAGAAATAGTGCTAAATAAGAAGCACTTTTTTTTTCTTTTCTTTGTTCCTTTTTTTTTTAATTGGTAAGGGTGTTATAAGATTCTTGTTAATCATTTTTGTCATAAATGAGTCCAAGTTGGGGAACCAACATTTTAGTTTCTAGATGTGCTTTTATTTTTGATTCTGGGAGTAAGCTTTTGTTAATATATTTTAATATAAAACATAAAATGTGCTTAAATTATAATATATTAGCACCTCAAATATGGAATGAAGAGTAGAAAATAAATAATAATCAAGGACAATTAACAGCTTAACATCCTAATGTTAGATTGTGAATTCTCACTTGTGGTATTTTAGGCACACAGATTTTTATCTTGTAGAACTTTGCAAGATTGGCCATTCTGTCTTAGTCACAAGAAAACCAACTATAAATTTTCCACATTTATGAAATCATTTTTCAGAACATCCATAAAACGTCTTTAGAAATTCCTGTAAATGCCTGTTAAAAGTTCATTAACTTTGTTGTTTTTATCTTTTTCTCTAGACCACACTGGTGTGTAGAAGGGAAAAGTTATTAAGTTATTGCCATGGGATTCCCTCTGAATTTCCTGTGGTAGAGGAGAGATATCAACTTTGTAGATAAACAAAATAACTCTTGTTTTTTTCCCTGCATGTCAAAACATTGAGTCATTTCAGTAAAATCAGCTGGATTGGATGCTTTATTTTGAATGGAAACACTGTGAGATGATTAAGTTTTTTTGCTAGTTACCGTTTGTTTTGGAGTAATGTATACACAGCTTTAGACGATAACTAAACAGAATTAAAGGAATCCAGTGGAATTGAATAGTTCTACGCCAAAAATAAATAGAAATAATAGTTTAAAAATATCTAAGAGAATATTAAACTTCAGTGAAAATAATATGAGGAATAGAAAATAATATAAGGAGTAGTGAAGTTAAATTAAAAAAAATAAAACTCAATCCCTGTCTTCCAAATCAGCTTCATCTTAAACCACTCTCATTTTTACTGCATTTTAGTTATATTCGCCTTCCTTGTGTTTTTGAACATAGTTCTTATGCAACTTTGTCTTATGGCTCTCTGTCTAAAAAGCTCTTATCTTCTGTTTTCCTTTTTTTTCTTTGTTTCTTTGTTTCTTTTTTTTTTTTTTTGTGGGGAAGATTAGCCCTGAGCTAACATCCGATGCCAATCCTCCTCTTTTTGCTGAGGAAGATTGGCCCTGGGCTAACGTCCGTGCCCATCTTCCTTTACTTTATATGGGACGTCGCCACAGCATGGCTTGACCAGTGGTGCATCGGTGTGCGCCTAGGATCCGAACCTGCGAACCCCAGACTGCCGCAGCAGGGAGTGTGCGCACTTAACCGCTGTGCCACCGCGCCAGCCCCTCCTCTATTTTTCTGATGTGTGTCTGCTTGTCTTCTAGATCTCTGCTCACATATCATCTTCTCAGCCCCTCTGAGTATCTGGTCTGAAGTAGCACCCCCATATTCCCTCTTTCTCCATCACATCAGCCTTTTTCAACTTTTAGCATTTCTCTCTTTTTGAAGTTGCCTTGTACACTTATTTCGTTGTTTGTGTGTTATTTGTCTCTCCTCTATAGAAATGTGAAGCTCCAGGACAGTAGGAACTTTGTCTGGCTTTTGTACTCTCTCTTCAGCTCTTAGAGCAAATTTGTGGCATCTACCTGGCCCTCAAACATTTATTGAATGTTTATAAAGCTGCTGCTGTTTGCTATATTATGGATAAATAGGTTTTTGTGGATTAACTACCATTTATTATATTGTATCTACAGGAATATACATTTTTAAACTCCAAATTAGAACATGGTATTCTGAGAATATATTTTATTTCATATCCCAACCACAAAGGGCCTTTGGGAATAGAGTTTTTTTACCCTCCTCCTGCATGAGAATGTGGCACTTGAGAATAATTCTTTTCTTTGAGGTTCATTCCTTTTCTCATAACCCATACTTCTCCCTATTCCCTTGTCCTCTGGGAAACCAGCGGTCTTGCTGAGTTGAGGAGATGGAGATTCTATTTTAGAGAGGATCAGGCAGCTAGAAGTTGTGGAGTAGAGTACCAGAGAAGAGGGAGCTACTCAGAGAAAGAGCTCCAGAAATCTGTGTGAGGTCACCTTGAGTATTTGTTGAACATTAGACCATGCAACTGTGGGGAAATTCCACAAGTCCAGGCACA